TGAGCAACAGTTTACAAAAATGTACAGAAGTACAATGTAACAGGAAAAACTCACAACCAAAACAAAGAAGGATCTGGGCGCCGAAGATCTGGAAGACGTGCTGCCAACATCCAAGCTGTTCAAAATGCTCTAGCGAATCAGCAGGCAGGAGATGAAAGAGCCCAGAGGTTGAGCTGTCGTCGTAATGGACTTGGGTTACCCTCTGCTACATTCAACAGAATTAGTCGCTTGGATTCATGCTTCCACCCCTACCAAAAGGTTAAACACCAGCTTCTTCCACGTGATCATCAGGTACGATTATAGTTTTGCCAGTGGCTCCTTGGCCAACATGCACGTTTCCATGAAGATTTGTTTATTGGAGACGAGTCAGGATTTGCCTTGAATGCTTCTGTGAGTACCCACATCAGAGAATATCGTCCCCGTGGCCAGCGACCACTTGATTTTGATTATCAACGCAGTGATGACAGACATAAGCTGACAGTTTCGGTAGGTTTCATTGGGAACGGAAGTATTATTGGTCCATTTTCTTTCGCAACAACATGAACGGACATATGTACTTACAAATGACCAATGCCAATATCGTTCCTGTCATTGATCAAAGGCCTCGTTATCGTCGCCAAAGGAACAAAATGGTGGTCAGGTGGAGAACTAAATGGGTGAAGTAAATGATATTTATTGAATCACATACCATAGCTTTTCTGGACTTTTGAACCAATTCTGAACAAAGCAAGTGTTTGCGCAAGCCAATTTTTGGGTGATTTATATTAGGAAAATAGCTTCTGGTCACTCAGGCCTGAAAATCTGTTAAAATGATCACAAGTTTAATAACAGCATGATACTCTAATCAACCCATGTAGGGGAAGAAATTTCAAACAATGTTCCCATTTTTATTTTGCAGTTAATTTTCTGACTGTGTACTCTTTATTCACCTCGAATAATAAACTCGTGCACGTGAAAAAAATAGATTTCTTTTGAAGATGAACTGTCCGCCAGGAATGAATCATCCTGAACTTTCTTAGTCTTAGTACATATTTTACGTGCGATACCAACATTTTTTCTTTCATTTACCAAACGTTTGTTACAAGTCTGAAAAAAAGCTGTATGACATAATCCCAATAACCACTGTTTCAGGTATCGCAGATCTATCTCATATATTCGTAAAAAAACACCCCGACAAACGAACACAACAAAAAACAAAGTTAGTTTTATATTTAGGCCCTGCATGTATGTATTAAATGACGCCAAGTCACCTTAAGCTAGCGTAATTTGAGTGTATGTCCAAGAAACATTAAGAAACAGAGTAATTGTTCAACAAATATGAATTGTAATTTCCTACGTGCTATGGACCTTTATGCTGTTTTAGTGCATTTAAATTTGTATAACTAAATCTATATCTAGACAAAAACCTCTTCTGTCGTAACTTTTAAAGTCTTTATCCTTACGATGTCAATTACAATTGAAAAACAACGAAGTTTGAAAATGTTCAACTTAAAATGCAATTTGAAATTTCTACTTTCAAAAGATATATCAATTAAAGTACTGCCATAAATGGTTTGCAGCCAATAGGGCCTATAGCCTTAAACTAAACTTACAGTAAATATTTTGCTTACAAAAAAGACAAATATTATTTCTAAAACAGATAGCCTCATCTATTAAATTGCAGCAACATATGACATTCAATTGCAGTTAAATGAGTGTTAAGAGCTCGATGTAAGGTACCAAAATGGAATACCCAAAAAGTGCAGTAGTGGGGTCATTGAATGATACTTGAAGTATTACTCAGACTAACCTATCTTTGTTATATACTTTAAACGAAAGTGAACAGTACTTTAGATTACTTTGACATGTTTATCCTAATATTACTTCACGTCGCTTCACCTACTTTTCATTAAAGTGTGTCGCGGGAATAACAATCTTGAACAGAGAAACAAAAACAATATTCTCAAATGGTAACGAACAAAGGAGCACAACAGACTTAAAAGCATTGTTTGTCAAAATACTTTGAACTGAATATTTTGTAATCTTGGAAGGTCTGTAAACTAAAAGTCTTTGAACAAATTTACCTGAAAGTATGAGCTTTAAATCAATTTCGAGCATTTCCGAATTCCAAGCAATATCAAAATAACAGAATTTCAAAATGTACTTGCCAAAAAAGTGGTAATTTTACTTTTCAGGAGGAAGTTCCAGTGGCTACAGATCTAAAAATTGAAACTATTCCTATCAATAATACTTACAGCTATATAAGCAATTACGTGTAATTCATAAATGACTTTACATGAAAATATTTGAATAAAAAATTCCACCAAAATTTCAAATGTACTATCTAACCCAAATCTGTTCCCTTCAGATTTCGTCAATACGTGCGTCTCACTCCTGCTACGAAAGTTCCCATCATTGTGCAGCCTCTCTTTCCATCAAACTACAGTACTTTTGCTTTAAAAAAAACCAAAAACTATCTAATCAAAGTTAACAAGAGTTCATTAAAAGTCGCTTCTGTTTATAGTCAATCAAGAGACCTTGACAGTGGAAATTTCAAACAAGGTCCATTTTTTGTGAAATACAAAGAAAATGATCTTAAGTAACTCGAATATAATGTTTTTAAGCTAAGCAGGCCTATGCATGCACCATCCCTGTGGGGATGGCACTCTTTTATCAACCAATGAAGCATAGCGTTGTTTAGTGGTAGTTGATTTCTGTAACCACGCAATCACCATCCACAGCGAGAGCACTGATGTTCTGAAACGGCAGACGATGTTTGAACTCCAGGAGGTGGGAGCCATTCAGAGCCACCTTGAACTCGTGATGTTCGCACAGGAACATAATCTACAAAATAAAAATGAAATGAAATCACTGTTGACCCGAGAGATGGCGACCAAAGTTTAAATATTCAAGTATGAAAGGCTGATTCATACAAGAGTATATATACCCAGCGACGCCCTCATCTGAATCTCACAAAATGGTAATCCAATTTAATATTCTTCTTGTCTACAAACTCAGTAATATCTCATGTCGACATGATTAAAATCGAATCATTTATTTCTGATTTCTGATCACAGTCTCCGATATGAAGTGGACTCAATTTAAGTTAAGTCTCCGTTTGAATGACGAAAACACGAACAGACGGTAAACCCACATCCTATACAGAGTGGAAACTACGGTGTTAGAATCAGTGGCACTATGTAACATGTTATGTATAGAAGGACCACTGGCACTCATGAAAACATCAAGTGGTATCGATTCAATACAGTATAGTGTTCATTTAACACCACTGTCTGGCAGTGTAGAATTCCTTTTTCACTCGAAGTATCCACTCTTTGTTCTATAGCTGTTTCCCTCTCAGGGATTTTTGGCCAAAGGAGAGGATTCTTTCAGTACATGAAGTGTGGAGACGAATCACTGATCACTGTCAAAAAGAGCAGTCCTTTACATTCCATGGTTGTAGCTATTATAGCCACGAAGGCCACTTGCCGTACGTCAAGATCTGATGATTCCAATGGGAGAGTGCCTTCCTAAGATGAAAGCGTGTCACCAGGAAACAGGGAAACCTGTGCCGGGATATGCCTATCAGCGCAGCCATAGGCCAACTGGTATGCCTGTTTCAGTTCAAGAATAGCTTGGCTTTTTAAAATAAAATAGGTCTACCGAACTGGTTCGCTCTAGAGAGGACTCTGATAAAGAAAACAGGAAGCATTGAATGTTTACCTCGTAGGTCCCATTCGGGTGGAAGGGGAAGTAGGTGCGGTGTTTTTGCTCAGTGCCATCCCATCTGGTGCTGCGCAGGGCATTCATGACGATAGCCTTCTCGTTGAATCGTGGATTGAAGTGAAATGCAATATCACTCCTTGGGTTGTTGGACATGCCACACTGGAAATTTATGTGGAACCTGCGTTTTCCGAATCAAAACAAAAGTAGACAGAATGAGATAGAAAACATTATGATTCTACTGCTATTTCGCTTCATGTTGTGAAGCAATTCAGCAAAAGAAGTATCCAAAATGCATTACAAAAATTAGAATAAAATAACTCAAAACATTCTTACCGGTACCGAGATTTCAAGCCACATTATTTTCTTCCTCTAAATACCCAAGATATCGATAAGTAGAAACTAATGATTTGTCAGTTGACGTTTCATTAGTTAAACATTTGAGAAATGATCTCACTCCCATAAATCCAGTCGACTGTGCCCCGTCCCCCTCACCAGAGTTAGATAAGAACACTCAGACTAAAGAATTAATTCGTGTTCCATTGAGCTCCAAACCAAGTATCTTTTACCCATGAACCACTGATTCCCAAAACAGACTGAAGTATCCCTGAAGCAGTGGTCATTCAGCGTGTCCACAGAAAAACAATACCGAGATAAAAAGTACTGTAGGCCTGATGGCCAAATTATTTTCTATACGGGAAATAGAAATGTATCTCTGGGAATGGTACAGGGCTTGTGACGTTGTTGACACAGATGAGTGAACAAACTAGACCGATGGCACTCTTTCAAAATCGGCACTGTGGCAAGGTTGCATATTTGATAACTTGGCAAGGCTCAACTATGCAAGTGTGCAGAGTACCAAATGCTTTTGCTTGAAGAACACGTTCTTGAAAACAAGGAATGTATATACACCTAATAAACCTACCTAATCTGCTTCAGTGTCGCTACTCACCTCATAAATTTAAATGTGCAGTAGCCACCATTCTTGTCAATGCACATCTGACATTTGTTATCTCGGTGGACACTCTGTACAAGTACCCTAAGTGTCATTGCCCATAATTACCAAAGTTCCATGCGGACAGAAATTTAGACACTGGATCACTTTGATGCTGCGCTTAAGAAAGTTGGGAGAAGAATCTCAAGCATCATAATTCCGCTACTTCAGCCTCGTTTGGAATATTAGGTCAATAAACATATTTTCGGAGGTGCCTACCTTGTTGGGTTGGGCTTGATGGTAACTTTAACCACGATGATCTTGCCTTGTCGCATGCCTCCGGGAATTGTGTCCAGGTATGGCAGGGGCTAAATCGAATCCAAAAAGAGAGGGTCACTCCATAGGGACTCTGTCACAGCGAAATCCCATCAATGATTTTGGGGCTCATTATATCATTTTCCTTCATGATTAATTATATAAAGCAACCAACACCCAGAGCAAAATTAACTTTACAACACTGTTTCCAAAAACTCATAACACTTCCAATAGGTTGTCAGTTTTTTGATAAGATGTCTTTTCATTGTTCTTCGCACTGAGTATTGTAATACCCACGGGGGTCTTCAATATAAATTGTCACTGACCAAGCTACGTCTATAGCAGCAGAGTCGCATGGTTCTTTACTCCCAATCAAAACTCCCAAGTCCGGAGAAAATGGGTACGATCAGCGCAAAGGATTTATAACAGTGACCCAAGCCTGGAAGTAACAGGATGGGTTGTAAAATAGAGTGATATGCGCTTAAACAAACAGCAATCGAACAGCGAAAACGTCACTTACGGGGTAGCTGACTACCTTCGGGCCGGCAGGGTAGGCAGGCTGGGCTGCAGGGTAGGCAGGCTGGGCTGCAGGGAAGGCCGGTTGAGCTGGTGGGTAGGCCGGGTACGCTGGCTGGTAAACCAGAAGATGAATCGGGTAAAATGCATGCATTAGAGTTTGCAATTTGTTCTGATAAATCTTACTGAAAAGTTATTGAAGAAGACATGATAGTAGTGGCGTAAATGAGGGGAAGAATCAACAAGGAAATCTACAGAGTGGGGGGTGGATAAAGTCGGACTAAAACTACTTTTACGGATATGATGTGTTTACTAATTCAATATGTAAAGTCTATTGTTCGATTTGTTTCAAAATTACACAACATTTGGCTAACATTGAAATCAGGAATTCCAAGCTATGTAGTTGCAAGAATTGTTACAGCTCGCGCGTTTCCTTCCCTCAGGACAACAAAGTTTCCGATGAAAGAAAAATCGGCCACATGTACTTCAAGGGAATAGCCGAGTAATGGAATCTACTCACGGCAGACGGCGGCTCAAATCGGATGTTGTACACAGTGACGGTGCCATCGATCATAACGGCATTGATCAACTGCAGATTCAGTATACGGTATCTGTACTCCAGAAAATGGTTGCCGTTCACAGCCACCTTGAAATCGGCAGGGGAAAAACACGCAAATCCTTGACTTAATCGTGCTCGATGCAGGTGAAGTCGTCACAGGTCAAAATTTCATGGCAAATCAATTATAACCTCACCTAAGTTACTCTCATGTTAGGTCTGTGGCAAGCTTTTCAATGAAACATGAAAAGACACCTTACTTTTCCACTGTTAAACTGCTGCCAAGTTTGAAGAGATCTGCACGTTATTTGACTTGTAATACAGCTGTGGTGGTCAGACTTTGTCAAGTCTAGGATTCCACACCACGCACTTTCTCACAAACCCCGAGTGTTCTTACTCATCCAACGTAGTCCCGGCATTGTATTTAAATTGTTGTATTTTCTGTGTAGAGTCGCCCAAGTGGTTGTTCATGGTCGTAATCATAAATTAATCGTATCCTCGTCAATATTACTCTGCAACACAAGGTTTTAGTTCCTTAGTTCGTATCAGACATGAACGTATTCTTGTAGGCCTACGCTTACGCGACGTACTCTCTCTCTGCCTCTCTCTAGCTGGAATATGGAAGCGCTGCGTAGCACTGTGATCAGAATACCGACGAGAATATAACATCAAATCAGTGCTCTGAAATATGTGATTGCCGAGCTTTCGAACTGAATCTGCTTGTCCTGAAGAAGGTACTCAGTTACCGAAAGCTTGGCAATAACATATTTCAAAGCACTGATTTGATATTATATTCTCGTCGATATTCTTTCTAGCAGGAGTTTGTTCTGTCAGGACGTAAGTTCGCTCTTGTTATAAACTTTTGCAAATTTCATCATTCGTTTACCGTTATGCAACGGTTCTGGCCTGTTCTCATTGACAAATTTGTCTCGTAGTACGTGTGGACCAAGTGTGGGCTCCAAGTCAGGTCAAAAATTCGTCATGTGGACTGATTTCGTTTGTCGCGTTGTCATGTTGTAATTTGGAGTACTTTAATCACCGTAGGGTATCACTACCCCACGTATGAACGTGACACAGCTCTGCGCAGACTGGATTGTTGTTAATTTTTCCCAGTGATGCCCGACAAAGTCTCCTGGTTTTGTCATGCTATTGTTTTCATATGCATTAGTCGCTCAGCTAGCTGACTGGTTTGCACAAGAGGACAGGCCGGCTCGTTCCAATCTTCAAATTGGAACATGTTCGTCCATTTTTGTTTACCTTGAATGAGTTGTGCTCACAGCGGATGATGATGTGAAAGTTCTGGCCTTGAACGAAGGGCGAGTGAGGTTGGCGTTCTTCCCCTCCCCATTTCTGGCCAGTCTTCGTGTTGCACACCACCACGTTCTGGCCCCCCTGAAAACGGGGATTGAAGTGGAGAGCGATGTCTGACACATTGGTGCCCACGCCGCTCTGAAGGTTCACGCTGAACCTGAGCAAATTAGAATTGCAATGTGAGCGCCAGACCGTGTCCGATGCAGCGGTGTACTATAAAGCCGTACAGGGAAGTGAAGGTATTGGGGATGATAAAAAAAACTTTAAAATTACCCGACTGAGGAATCTGGTACAAACAAAGGTGAAAAATACACACGTACTTCATTGTGAAAACGAGCTTCGAAAAAATGCACTTAATGTTTTGAAAATATTTACTTGATGCCACCAAAGGGCTTGTACCGCAGTGGTTAGGCACAGTGACGAAAAAGATTGACTACTACGGGGGCCTATCTTTCAAGTAACCCTGAACATGTTCCATTGACGACTGGCTAGATGCACGTACCAGTGCAAACGTATATCGTTTTTAAGGGTTTGTTTGGGAGGTTTTCCCTTTAAACTTTAGTTCTGACATGCCGCAGAGTACTGTTTTTCACATTTTTTTTCTTCTGTCATGTTTAGATGACTTGAAAGTTGAGCACGCAATATTCACTGAAGAGGAGTCTTCCTGTATTCTCAATTCCATTTTTATGAATACTTTACAACTGCTTTTCCGACACCCTTTTCCAAGAAGCAGCAGTCAACTACCAGAGGAAGCAGTCAACTTCTGAATGTTGGACGGTTGACATACGATAATTTAAATGAATTGATCTTTCAAAACTGCAAGCATTTTCAGCGACGACATTTCAAAACCAAATGTTTGAAATGGAGAGCCTGTTCAGACCATAAAATGCACTTCCTTCATGCACGGTGTTCATTTCCAGCTGTACAATTCAATAACCTGAACTAGGAATCTCAAAAACATCTAAACCCAGCTATACACAGACGAATGGATATCTAACAACTCTGATGACTCGGCAGAATCAAGCAATCGAATAATGAGTTACACATGAAAACATCCCCCCGGACCACCTCGTTAAAGCTGAGTTTTGCCACACGATGCTTTGAAACGATACTTTCCAACTTTAAACTCATTCTCATGTATTGACAGGTGACACAAGCTCAGTCATGTACGTGATATAAAAGAAGGATAAGGAAATCAGTCGAGCGGATCGATTCACCGTGGCTCACAGGTCTAGAGGCCAACAACTACAAATAAAGGGATATCATTTTCTTCTGTACCTACCTTTGGCTGCCGTGCGGCACAAAACCTTGGACATGAATGGTCTTGGAAGGAAATATTCCACCAGGGATTGGACCACTGTATGGGATAGGCTAAAAGATAAAGAAAAGGTTGACATCAGATCCATAGACAACTCTCTGAAGGCGTTTAGTTTTCCTCAATGAATCCACCAATATTGGTGCTTGGAGCATTTCAAACGAAGAAAAGGTCTATAGAAAAGATTTATTTGTTGAATGTTAAAAATTGCGCAGGATTTCACTTGACATTTTAAAGGCCGGCTGGTTACGATTATATGGAATTACGCATTCAATTCCTCCCTTTAGACACAGTGAAACCTTACAGCCTAACAAGTTGCACTTCTAGAAACAAGTTAGATTTTACAGGTACAAATGTTTAAACATTTCCTTTTTTACATATCGATCCCCCCCCCCATTTCAGTCTTCAATAATGTATACTTAGGTTTGTTTCAAAAAAATAAAAACTTCGACTCTTGAAATCATGAAATTGCTGTTTCAAAAACGTTTGTTTGAAAACAAATTTGTCACACAAACATTCCAATCGTTTTGCATTTGACCATTTGCTAAGAGTTTAATATTATAGAAACAGTGTTTACCGGGTTTGTAACCAAATCAGCAGACATGTTGTTCAGGTTGGAGCAATCTGTCAATAAAACAAAGAAGACTGGACCTATATAAAAGAGAACGGGAAGAGTATGACTATTGATATGAAATGTACTGTATATCCGAAGGGACTTTACTACGTAGATCGCCCTTGAGCCTTTCAACACTTCTTGTGACTTTTTTACATGTAATCGTGTCGCTAAAACAACACTATGGGCGCTGGGGAAACATCTCAAATATTTGGACAATGCTGAAATCTATAACTGCACAAACTAATGCTTATAAGGCTGTAAGTTTTCGAAAGTTTTTCACAGATGAAATTAAAAATGGAATGAAACGTGTCGTTGTGCAGAGCTTGCCACGTCAAGTCTGGACATTTTCTGTTAAACTGATAGAGTAGGAACACGGAAGTTCAAGACCAGCACAACCTCTGTATACGTGAACCTAACCAACAGAAAAGAAACACACCTATATTTCACCTCATTGTGATATTATAATGAGGTAAAGGTTACCAGACAGACCCTGTCCAGCTGCACTCCCCTTCAGGGTCATGCGCATTTTCTCTTCACGCTTCGCAGCTCACACCAGCTCTTTCTTCTCAAGGTCGCTTTGCTCCTTCTGTTCACGCTTCGTTTGCGTCGAAAAAAAAACAGTGTAAGAAAAATGTAAAAACTAGAAAATATACCTATGTAGCTACTGTAGCAAACCCAAACGCTTGTCTAAATTTGAAGCCAGAAAAAACTAGAACGACGAGTTCTTGCTGCATTGGATGTCTATACTGCTGCAGACGTTTTGGTAGCCACCTGTGATAATGGCGCAGAGCATACACCTGGAGACCTTATTACCAACACAGACTGACAAGCTGCATGTGCCGACTACAGAAAAGCTCTCTTGCAAACACGACCGACATAAGTCGTGTTGAAGAACATGCGAGCAAGGGGTATACAAGTTTCGCCGAGTGGAGTTTAGAAAATTGATGTTTAAAGACAAAATGAAATGTTGAAAAATGAAAATGGTATTACTATCGAGAGGGAATATGAGGAGAAAGAATTTAAGCCAGCCAGACAAAAATTGTTAAATTCACAAATAAGTAAATTATTATTAATGATTTTCTGAGGGTGCGTTAGCAAAGATAAGCTACTTGATATCAACAGCGACAATATTCGGCTCTTAAAACGAGGAGCGATATTTATGAGTACAACTGCCAAGGTCAATCGCTTTTGCACATGCCAACAGCTATTGGACAACAGTGAACCGATACTGCGTTGTGGTGATTGAAAGGTTGGAAGGGTTAACTTTTATCGATAATCATTATCTTTTTCCCAAATATCATAGCGTTTCGATACACATCAGTTTATGACTCCTCGGCGTTATATGGACCTTGTTGAGTATAGTAGAAGTAGAGGTAATACCGTAGAAGATATAGGCCTTATCTATTTAAATCTTGTTTTGGTTATTACGTAAATTTTAGTTATTCTGACGGCACTACGGTAAAACATGACTCTTTTATGGGATAAGATCAAAACTGACTCTGGTTCTACCTAAAATCGATGACCCTCGAGATACCTTCTCTGATGTATTCTCTTTCACGCGTTTAAAGCAACAAGAATGTCGACATCTCTTAGTTCTTCGTCAGTTAATCATAATTTCGCATTGTCTTCATTTCTTTGCATGCATTGTCTTCATTTCTTTGCAAATAACTATTTTTACGTTTATCTATGTATACCCTTTCAGCTCGTTTTTCCAATCGACTCCCGCACTTTTGCTAATCTTTCGTCTTCGTACGCCTTTATCATTCTGATCGTTCGACTTGTGTGGAACAAAACACCGACTTTGCGTACGGTATATCGTTGAAAAACATAACAAAATCGATCAATCTGATGACATCAGGGTCTAGTTCTTCTCCTGTAAAAGTTGTTCGCGGGTCTGAAGGGGCTTGGGGTTTTGTGGGTCTCGCTGATTCGGAAGCTCTGTGGTCTGACATACCCGGTACCATCTGAGTGCGTCTGACTCTCGGTGGAGTTGGACACATGGGGTATTTCTTCTAACGGTATGCTTTCAGGACAAATTTCGTCAAGATTTTCTAGCGCCTTTAATATAGGACTAATTGCAATTTTATAAAGTTTCTCCCTCGATACAACAACGTAAACAACGAAGGTCTTGTGGGGATAACGTGATTCTGTACAGATTGATCGTTTCGTTAAGCGTCGGTCCGTAAAGCTCTTACCCGATACATGTACATGTTAGGCTGGGATCTATGTACACCCACAATCTTTCGAGATACGTTTTATTTTTACGCATTCAATGTCTTAAATATCACCGACTTTAACTTTCAGCGTCTTCGTAAGGCATACACATCGAACAACACGATTTGTGTCTATCGCGTTAACAAGACTGGAGCTTTTCTGCAGTCTGCACAGGCAGCTTGGACAGTCTGTGTGGGTAGAGAGGTCTGCAGTGAGGACAGGTGTAAACGTTGTCGTCGCTGTGATAGCAGGTGTGGCCAAGTGTTTGCGGCGATCTAGAAATCACATGCAGCAAGAACTCGCCGTTTTATTTTTTTCTGAGTTTGACGTCCAACGAGCGTTTTGGTTTGCGACAACAGCTATGCATTTTTGTAGTTCTTATATTTTTCCATCTTTGTTCGACGCAGTGAAGCTTTAAGAGAAGGAGCGTGCGACCTTGCCCCTACTCTGAACCCGACCTTGGGGAAGAGAACCAGAAGACGACCGAGCGGAACGAAGTGGAGGAGGGCAGTGCGTGACCTCAATAGGCCTTTTTCCTGTGATGTCACAATCGCGCTGGACCGCCATGTGTTGTGATGGTAATTAGTGCATCGTGATGTTGTGATGGTAATCTAACTATGGACAAGTTTGCGGTGACACTATGTGGATATATTTCCCTTTTTTGAGTGTGTGTGGTTCTGAGAAGAACAGAAATTCACTGGAGAAAGACTTCCTGAAGACGGACAGAGCACACTGTCCGAAACGTCGAGTGAACCCCGGTTCTTCTCAGAACCACACACACTCAAAAAAGAGAAATACATCCACATGGTGTCACCGCAAACTTGTCCATAGTTAGTACTTCCGCAATGCATAGCCTCAAGTCTCATCGATGGAAATCTACTTATTCAAGATAAACTAGTCAAGCATGCAGCGTTCGCACGTGCGCTTGTACGTGGTTGAAGCTGCCCGTAGGAATATATGCGACCACCGTGGCCACGGCGGTCCACACGTGGTGGTATTGTTTACATTTAGCGCAATACACTCACATGGGTGAAAAAGGTCTGTAGAGGAGAGACGAGAGCATGGAGACAGTCTCGTAATCTTGGACGTCATTCTAATATTATAATGAGGTGAAAATGAGGCTTTTCCTTCTGGGCATAGGTACCGGTATGCAGCAGATGCGCTGGTCTTGAAGCGCTGTATTCTTACTACTGACACAAAACAATTTTGCTAATTCCTCAGTAATCACGTTAAACAACCGATCTCATATGAT